TGCTGAAAGCTTATGGCAGAGCAAGTTTATATGCAGAGAGCATTTACAAAAACAATTTCGCACCCCCTGCTTTACATATTTTACAATTTTTTGATTTAAGTACGATTTTGTAGTTCTGACCTTAAGTATGTCTTTAAGTTTTAATTTAAAAGTTGTACCCTTAAATATGTCTTAATTATGTTTTTGATTTAAACATGAATCCCTTAAACAGATTTAAGAGCATTGCATTTTAATTTTTAATATTTAATATAAAATACTTTAAAAATATTTGATTGAATATTTTTGTATATTTCATATTTAAAAACTAATTTATGAAAAGAACTTCTAAAATTTAATATTTTATACAATTTATTATCTTATTGTAACTATTATTTTGACCACAACTGTATAAAGTGAGCCATATAGCCTTGGTGGTCATCTGTTTTGAAGGTAAAAGTGCAAATATAAAGCCAATAATTTGATTTTGTTTAAGTTTTAACTTTAGTTTGAGTTTTAGTTTTGGTTTTATCTTTAGATTTGGCTTTAGATTTAGCTTTAGTCTACTAGACTTCGTTTCTACTTTTAGTTTTCTACTTTTAGTTTCCCTTAAAGTTAATTTTCAGTTCAAGAGTTTCGCCCACGCACAGATTGCAAGTTTGTGCGTATCTCACAGATAGCTAGATAGACTCACTCACTTCATGGCGAACTATCAATAACATCCGCCAACAAGAAGTTGGCTTTGTCTTGCGCTGTTTTTGTTTTCCAGTTGGCTTCTTGGCTTGATTAAATATTGCCAACGACAACGGGGCCCAATCTTTTGGGCTCAAGATGGGAAGAGAAGAAAACGTTGACGCGACTTCGTCATCGTCATCATCATCGTCGGATGCCGCCTTTTTGAGCAGAGCTCCACAATCTCCCAATCTCCGGATCGCCCCCCTTTTGGTTTTTTAGCTTAACCCCCTGTTTAACCCCCTGACAACCCACAATTTGCAGTGCGTCGTCAACGTCTGAAGTATCTTGAACAAAAAGCAAAGAAGAGATGCCAAGCCCCAGCACAAAGAGCACGCGGAAGTGAGGCATAAAAAAATCAAAAAAAAAAAACTGAAAACCAGAAAAAGACCAAAAAATGAAGATTGCCCCGCCCTTTGCCTGCTTGCAACAAGCTTCAATTGAGAGATGCTAAAGATCGCAATTATTTGTACATCGTCTGACTCGAAAAAATAAAAACGGGAAAATTCAAGTTTAATAATGTTTGTGAGAGTTTCCAGGCGGATTTTTCATTTTGGTAAGTGTATTTGAGTTACAATAATTGCCCAAATGAGTTTTTAAATGCTTTTTAAATGATTTAATAGCACTGTTTTGTATTTTTAATGGTTTGCGTATGAATACTAAACTATAAGCTAAGGCATTATGTAAACTAATTCACTCAACAAATATTTAATTGTAAATTAAACTTCTTAAAGTTGCCAACTAACTTAAATAGATTTTATTTAACAAAATTTGTAAATGATTTTTTGTTAATTTTATTTTTAAATTCAACTTTTTGTGTAACTTATTTACTATTATGTTTAACTATTTAAAGGTTGTGTAAAATATTTTATATATTAATACTTTAATTTTTGGAGTTTTTTAAGTGGTTTAAGTGCATCTCTTTAGAAAATTGTCAACCTTTAATGGGAATTATTATCAAAAATCTGTCCACCAAATCTATCAACCAAACTCAAACTTAAATTCAAAATATTAGTAAACATAAAGCTATACAAAAATATTATTTAAAACTTATAGCTTATAATGTAAAATATATAAATATCAAAATATAATGTAATAAACTTTCCAAAGCACTAAATAATTTATAAAATAATATCTGTAACCTTTTTTAAGCTATATCTTAATAACTCCTTAATATTTTACAGAATTAGTTAGTGTTTTGATAAATATATATGTAATATTATAAAACAGATTTAAATTTTATGTTATACCCATATATCTTCTCTATAATTTATAGCATTTTATCCACTCAACTTGAAAGTACCCAAAAACCCAAACTCTCTACAAAACTGTCAATCAAAATTGTAAACAATTTAAGCCTAACAAATCGTCTTCTATTACTATTTATCCCTAAGAAATTCCCTATTTATTTCCCTAACAAATTCTTAAACACTTAAACGATTTACTTCCCTAACAAATTCTTAAACAATTAAATGACCAACGACAGAGTTTCCAATAACGAAAATCCCCTTTCCTCCCATGGAAATTACGCAATAAGCTTACTGAGATACAGCACACAAACAAGCTCTCAGGGAGTAGTTTCGTAATCAATGATTGGATGTACGAGTTACATGAGAGTGGGAATGGGAATGGGAATGGGAAGGGGTTATGGAATCGAAATTGCGGGGGACTATACAAATATGGGTAACGTTGATAAGGCAGGTGCCCTGCCCTTGCCTTCCCTTCCTTCCCACTGCTCTTGGGAAAGCAAATCAAAGAAAGGGAAAACGAAAGTTCAAATTGGCTTGAAGTTGATAACAGCAGTGGGATAAAAAAAATATATATATATTATATATATATTTAAAAAGGAAAACAAGAGGAAATGGGAAGTTTGAGTTTCTTCTAAAGACTGCAATTTGAGTTTCTTGTTGACTTTTTAGATGGCCTGCGGCTGAGTTTATGATTTAGTTTTCAGTTTGCTTTTCAAAATCTATTTGAATGTTTGTCCAGCGAGTGCACTGGGAGAAAGTACTATAAAGTACTTAATAGAATGTTATCAATATCATTTCAGAAATATTAAATCTAAGTTTTCATATCTTTCTTATAGGTACCAGATTAATGGTTATTCTTTTACAAAGTTAAAAGTATCTAAAATTAACAAACTCTGATTTATGCTAAAAAGATAAAAATTCAAAGTTCTTTCATAATACTGTATGAATTTATGATCTGATGATTTATCTTAAACTTATCTTCTTAACAGCTAAAAAATATTAAATATAAAATATACATTAAAAACAAACCTTTTCTATTGTATCAAATATTATTAAAGCATGTTATTAAACTAAAAATATTTGAAAATAACCTTAAATCAGTTATCAGAAGTTAAATAACCTTATAAAACTTCTGATCTTAATATCTGGATATAACTTGAAATATATAAGATATATAAATATTCCTCAACTTCTTCTAATCTTTCAAATTTCAAACAAGTTTTTCCCAGTGCAGATAAAGTTGCAATCATGGCAGAGGAAAACCCCATGATTTTCGGGGAAGCAGACAAACAAATTACAAAGAAATTGTCATTGTCGCTTGTTGTTTTTATTAAAGTTTATTGTTTTTGTTGCTTTTGGGGGACATCATCGATTGACCGTCGATATCTGAGGCGCCTTTCTGCCCTCATCAAACATTATTAGACCCCCGCTAGCCCTCTTTCTCTCTCTTTCTCTGAACTTTCCCAACAAAATGTTTTGCCCTTATCGCTTTCAGGTGGCAACTTCGATTGGTTGGCATAAGCTATCAGAGGAGTTGCCAAGGGGTGGTGGTGGGGGGTCATTTGTGGTAAGTGCCTTAAATGTTCCGTCGTGTTTTGTCCATCTATCTGACCAAAACCAAAACCCACCTCCCCTCTATGGTTTTTATTTGTGTTTTGCGCAATGCAAGAAAGTTGATAAGAAAGGAGAAAGACGGCGTATTTGTTGCACATGTGCTAGGGAGTTTGGTGGGTAGGAGGGGAGATATATTTAAAGGGGGAGGGGGATTGTTCAACTTCAAATCAGAGGGCGAAGACCCATCATTAAGTCAACAGCAGTGGCACTTTGAAATCTCTTTCTCAAGATCTTAGATATTAATTGCCAAGTTTTGTGACTTTGAAATTTGAGAGGCTAGCTATTATTGACTTTCCGAAGAGTGCTCTACGATATTTATATCGATATTTTAAATATATGATATTTTTCTGATATATTCATATTAATTAGTTAAGTTCAATTTGTTATTAAATATTAATTTTAAAGCAAAAAGTTTGGATAAAGTTATTTTTATAAATTTTCAAGACTATATTTGTTAAATTTATCGATATAAGTTATTGATTTATATATCGGAACAAGTTTACTTTCTATAATATGCTAATAACTTCAATTTTTGTGGCAAGAAGTTCAAAAAACGATATCAATATTGTCCTTTCAATATGCTTTAAATATTATATATCGTTATCGATATCAATATCCGATTAAAATTACTTAATTATTATTCGAAAAAAACAAGTATTTTTATGGCAAATAGTTAAACTAACGATATTTATTATGACTTTGCAAGATATTTGTTTTATTTATCGATATTATTTTTATTTATCGATATTAGTTTTATTTATCGATATTAGCTTTTAATTTATATATCGGAAAACATGAAATTTTCATATTATTCACGACATTGCAAGAATATATTTCTCAAATTTATCGACCTTAACTTTCCTTTAAAATAACAGAAGCAAATGAACTTTAAGAAATGTTGAAAATAATCCAATTTTGCAATGTATAAATACAAATAAATGAATTTAACGATGAATAAACTTAAACGTTTGTATTTTTTTAACTGATAACAAAATAAATGAAAAGCCAATGATTACTCATGAGTACTTTATCAATATGGGCCATTAACAATATCAATAAGTTAAAGCTTTATCTTTTTATTTAGATGATTACAATCGATTGTAGAAGAATGTCAATTCTTCAAATATTTATAGAAGAAGCCTCTTTTTAGACTTGACTATGCCAAGAAGAATTAGTTTTTGAATATAAAAAGTAAAGTAAGATGGAAATTTCTTTCTTTCTTTCCAACTATTAGCCCAACTTTTACCAATTCTTCTGCAGTAGATTTCCCCCCTTAAGCACCCCTTGATAGCTAATATAAAAACCCATAAAGAATCCTGTTATCGGTTATCTTCATTATTGAGTGCATTTTTTCATGTTGGTAGCGAAACAATTTTTCATTTGCAACTTCTTTTTTGCCCATTTTTTTATTATCATTTTTTTACTTACATGTTGCTGCTGCTGCCGCTGTTGCTGCTGCTGCTGCTGCTGGTTGTGTCGTGTTTCCCTATGCAAATTTTCAGAGGCGGAGAACAGACCCTGTCTCCCTCTCTGTGGCTTCGGCCGTCTCTTTCACCCTGCTGGATGACAAGTTCGTTGACTGTTTCGTTCTTCTTCTATTTTTTTTTTATATATTGTTTAAAATGCAACTTCTTGCACTATTTTCCGCAGCTTCGTTGGCATTTTCACAGTTTGCACTTTTGTTGTTTCATTTTTGTTGTTTTTGTTTTCATTTCATTTGTTTATTTAATTTGAAATTCATTTAATGATGAAATTAAGAAAATATTTAAGAATTAATTATGCTGGAGAATCGTTTACCCAGCCATTCTCCACTCAACTCTCATTCGAGTGGTTGTCATGACAATAAAAAACTGAAAAACTGTCTGAACTGGTGGAAAAAAAAAAAAAAAAAACGAGACCCCATTTGCTGACCAACGCTTGATATGTAAATAAAATGGAAAATTCACTCAGGCGTACAATGCACGTTAATGAAACTCCACACTCTGCGTATGGTGAGAGGGGAAAATGGGAAAAATAATGGAAAAACCTGAACAATTTCCATGCTGAAAAACTAAAAGAGCGAGGGAAATGGCAATCCTGAGCATAGATTTAAAGACCCATTCAAAGATAAGTATTGGAAAAGTAAGTAAGTATTAAAAAAGTCAAGAAAAAACTAAAAAAAAATACTTTTAAAATATGAAAAACTTTTAAATTATAATAAAACATAAAATATATACAAAAAATATAAAAATAAAGCCGAAAAGTTGAAAAGAAAACTCTTTTTCCCTGCGGCTTAGCTCGACCAACTGCAATCTGCAGGTTTCGGTTAATGCTTTTCTTCATTTACAGTTAATAAACGTTAACCGCAAGTGGCCTAGTCTTAGCCCATTAAACATCAAACATTAAACACAAACAAATGTATCTACATATTGGAATGCCCATGAGGAGAATCGCATCTGTTAGCAATTCTTCTGCCCATTCTTCTCTTGCACAAAGACCCTTCACTTCCCTTCTTTACCCCATGGAAAACTCAAGTGTCGTCGCATTTGTTGTTAAATTGATTTGCCGATCGTCTCGAATGACATTAATGACGGGGCTAGAAAAGCGGAAAAAGGATTGAGGGAAAGCAAGGGGGAAAACTAAAGTGCAGCCCAGAGGAAATTATGATTTCCCACAAAAAGCTATTTTCGTATGGCAACCAAAAGGAAAATATGAATATGAAGAGGTTTTTCTTTTGGTATTTTTAGTTTAGTTTGGAAAACTTTTGGAGTTTGTAGTTAACCAGGAATCGAGGAAAGCGAATGGAAAGTACTTTTCTTTTAGGTAGGGAAAGTGTGGAAAAAATATATATAAGCCATTGATGAACTAATAGGATTACATGTGTTTTTAGCCATTTACTAATTTGAATATTTATAAGTTTTTTAGTTTGCTTTCTTTTAAATTTTTAATTTCTGCTAATTTTGAGTGTTAGATAAGACTTTGATTGTTTTATTGTTAAATATTTTTTAAATTAGAAGATTTTTGTGTGTAACAAATTCTTTAAAACTTAAAAAATAATTGTTTTTTAAGTAAAAGAAATATTAACAAGACTTTTTTCATTAAAATTACAAGGTTTTCTTTTTAATTTACAAAGAATATTTGTAAATAATCAACATTTGTTTAGTATTTCATTTATTAAAGTTAATATTAATTATAAAAAAATAGTTTTTTTATATAGAATTATTAAAAAATGTAACATCAGAGCATTACAATTATATTAAAACAGCTTTTTAGTAGCGAGTTTTTCAAACTTTTAACAAACTTAACTCCTTGAGATCAAGCCAAACCCCAAAAGTCATAAATTACTAAATTTTTTGTCTTACTTTTTGGCTAATTCAAAATACCAAATTAGGAAATCCCCATAAAAGCATAAATTGCAAATACTTGGAGATATTTTTTACTCATTTTTTGCAGGTGATAATCGCGATAATTCCGAAGAATCTTGAATTGAGTCAGAAAGACAGAGAGATAGAGGGAGTCAGAGAAACTGGGCGGGAAAGAGAGGGCAACATGAGTCACCCACGAAGATCAATGTGCGACATAGATTCCAAATTCAAACTGCAGGCCTTGCAAAATCAAAAAGCAAATGAAAACTCGTTCCAAACTCTACAACATATTTTTTTTTTCGTTTTTTTTTTTTAGCTTAATTTGCATTTATGGCGAAAACTCATGTGCAAAATAAAAGCAAAAGATAAAGAAAAACAAAAACCCAAAAGAAACACACACACATATTCGCACACATACTCGCACAGAAACAAAAACAAACAAAACACAGCCTGTAAAAATACAAAGTTAAAGCAGAAAAGGAAGAAATAGCGGCAGCAACATTTCTGTTTTCGGTTTTCCTCTTTGTTTTTCTTGTTCTTTGTTATTCTTTGATTATTTGTATTTGCATTGCGAAGAATTGAAATAAATAAATGAGATACGCACACATACACCAACACAAACACGAAGAAAAAAAACGGTAAAGCATAAAATAATCACAAATGTTTTTTTTTTCGGAGTTTAATTTTTTTTTATCTACTTATTTGACACTCGAATGTTGGTTAACAATTACACGCACACACACTAATGATCAGCAACAACAACAACAAAAAAATACTTATTAACGCGCACTTACAAAACAAAAATTCGCAATTCGAAGTTATTCGCGTGTGAAAATGGCAAACAACATTGTCGGCGTTCTTTTTTCCCCGATTTTCGAGCAACCGCGACTACGAACCGTTGTCGTCGAGCATTCCTATTGGAATGAACAACAACAGCGGTGTGCCGACTTCGGAGAGCGCGAGAATGTAAACGACACAAGCCGAATAACTTACGAACGGAGCCGGAGAGTTAGTAACAGAGAGAAAGAGCGTGCGAATGAGAGAGTGGGCTTTTGCGGCATTGCACAAACACAAAACATGTGCTGTTTGTGTGTGGAACGAGTTTGCTGCATTGGAAGTGGATGCTGCCCACACACGCATACGCTTACGCTCACGCACACCAACACAAAGGCCGCTGTTAAATTGCGCAAATCGCATGTGTTTTTTGTTTTTTTTTTTTGGCTTCCTCTTTATTGTACGTTTTGTTGTTGCCGCCGCGATCGAAATCACGAAAAACCGCCATAAAAACGTTTGCATTGTTTTTGGTCAACTGCATTGCAGACCGCGGCATCCAACACAGCCACAAAAATTAACAACATCCACTGGTGCACAGAAAGAAAAAGAGATAGCAATTGCTGATTCTTAACCTGCTAAGCTGCTGTTAAGGTAGTTTGTCTTTTAAACTTTAAACATTTGTATTTGACATTTATTAGTTGTAATGACATGAAAAATATTGCCATATTTTATAATCATTTCTCTCTGTGTACATCAAATACTGAAATGAACGCAGGCGACTATTTAAAGACGCCATGCAAACGCATCTAGTAAATCGAGTGGCGGCGAGAAGGCCAAAAAACGGAGGCGTTGTGTGTGCAGGCGTGGCAGTGGGCGGTGGAGGAAATCTGGGCGAGTACGCTAAAATTGCAACTTCAACATCTTCCTTCTCTCGTTATAAAATCATAAACAAGTTTTAAATTTATTATATGTTTTTATTGCAGTGTGCTAGTTAAAGTGACCAAAAACTTTAAATAAATTTTTTTTCCACTGTAAATCCCAACGAAGCGAAAGAGAGAGAGACAGATAGCGAGCAGTGATCGTTTAGTTCGCTCAATTTCCAAGGAAGTGGAACGTAAGTATGTTAAAGCGACAAAACACACATACATGCATAACTTGAACGTGGGAGAGCCCTTCGCTCATATCAAATCGTCAAAAACTGAGCCAAAGTTTTTTTTTTTTGTTATTGCCTTTGTTGCCCTCTTATTTTCAGTTGTGTTATTCGCTTTGTTTTCATTGTTGTTTGGCTTGTTCTTGTACATTTCTTACTCATGAACGTACATGTAAGCGTACATATGTATGTATATTTTTGAATGGCCTCGACCGATCGAACGGGAATAAGAAGTAGAAGAAGAAAAATGTAGGAGTGGGAGTAGGAGTAGCAGAGGCAAAAGAGAGATGGAGAGATCTACCAGCTGTTGCGACTCGAAAGCTTTTGTTTTTGTTTTTCCCAATTGAAGCAGAAACCGGCTCCAATAAGACCAAAAGAGAGAGAGGGAGAGAGAGAAAGACATTCCAGAAGGAATGCCGCTGCCATTTACTTCCCATTTCCCATTTCCATTTGACCAACTTGACAAATTGGCTTTGACATTCCAGAAAGAGAAAGAGACAGGGCGATAGCCAGAGTGAGAGAGCTAGAGACAAAGATAAATAAATCAAAATTAATGCCATACAATTATTAATTAATGTAATGAATGTGCCATTTGCTTAGACAGATGTTGCCAAACAGCCAAAAAATATTGGAATGGGCATGAAGAGGGTCGCACAATGGTCGCCTACTTAAATTATGATTTCTTGACCATTTCGCCTTAATTACACATGCAAAACCAGGCCTAAAACCAAACGTGCGAGTGGAATAGCAAGCTATTGCAGCAGAGAAAACGGGATGGCAGTTGGCTCAAATTGCAGTTACCGTTACAGTTACAGGGCTTAAGAGTTAAGTACAGTGGTCATACGGTAAACACAAACGGAAATGTTAAGCGGAATTTAAGAAAAAATGAAATAGAAGAAAAATCTAAAAAAAAAGTTGAAAATTATAAATATTAAAGATTTCCAAAAAAAAAATTTTTAATTAAATTTGAATTATTTATTTTCATTAAAAATGTATAAAAACATTGCTATATTTCCACAATTTTCTTACCAAATTTAATTCCTCCAATTAATCAGTTAACATTAGCGAGTGATGACTGTATGGCGAGCGTTTACAACATAAATTGAAAAACTATTGTGCAACCCCAACGGTTGCCGCGACCCAAGGCGGGCATTATCACATGCGATAAATATTTATATGGAAATGTAATGACTGTCCGCCCCAGCAACCCCTCCCCGTCTCCGCAAATGGTTCGTCCTTCGTCGCGCAATTAATGTCACCACATCCTTTGGGCCTTATTAATGTCCTTGGACGCCCGCTCTGCGTGTGCTGCCAGAGGTGGTGGGTGGGTGTAAGGGGGTTTTAGGGGTTGGCCATTAATGCCTTGCACCCCCCACCCCTACTGTGGCCGGTGAAAACAATTAATTTGCCTATAATGCAATTTATATCGGTTTGCTTTCCGTTTTCAGATTGCCTTACAGTGAGAAGAAAAACTACCTCGAAATAAGCTGCGCTTTTAGGAAAGTGTCTTTAAATTTTGGAATATTTTTGTAAATTTTTAAATATTAAAAGGATTTTAAGCGGGAAGCCAAAGCTCCTGATAATATTCAAACTCTTTGGATTCAAATTTTAAGACATAAAAAAACTTAATTCCAACAATTTGGTAACTCATTTAAATATTTAAATATATTAATAACACCAAAACCACTTCCTTTTTGCTCACTGCACGAAACTATCCATCTCTTTTTTATCCCTTATTGCCATCCTGCTCACCATGAAACTCCATTCTTTGGTCTCTAAACCACATAATGTGCATATTTCTGGCTTGCCTGCGTTTT